TTGGCCCCCCCATCTTCTCCAGCCAGTCCCGTTGCAACCCCCATTAGCTGTTTCCAGGCCCCCCCTTCCCGGCCAGCACTGCTCCCTTCCTGGCTGGTCCTTCTCCCTCACCCCCTATGAAGCGTGTCCAGGTTTTTGGTTTTTTTTAAATGATCTACATTCTTGGAGAATATTTTTTTTGATTACTCAAAATCTTTGGTGTCCCCCCCCCTTTTTTTTCCTTCAACAAAATTTTTTCCCGGTGTTTTTTTTTGGGGGGGGGGGGTGTTCGGTATTTTTGTTTCTGCCATCTGGCAACCATAGTGCCGCCCCCAGAGCAGCAGCTGCACTCTCTGGCCTTAGTTCTTTAACTTTCTTGCACACCTGTTGTGGAGAGCTCAGTGGGCGCATCGGGGTCACTCATGGCAACTGCCAGCTCTGTGTAGGCTACTGCTCCATGGCTCATGGCTGTCAGGTCTTACTGTGTGCGTCAAGCCCTTTCCCCTGTGGCTCCCTACACACAACCTATTCGGAAATAACTATTTTGAATAGGTGTTATTCCTCGTAAAATTAGGGTTACAGAATCCGGAATAAGACGTCCGATGTTTCGATATTATGCTGTATAGACACTCACATAGTTATTTTATAATAACATCCATCATTCCGAAGTAATGCTGCTGTGTAGACGTGTTCTTAGAGATTAACAAAAAATATAGAGAGTATCATGAGCTTTCATGGGAACAACCTATTTCTTCAGAGGGGTGGAGCAGAAAGTACAGAAACCCCAAAATTTGAGTTCTTGAACAAATGGACTCGCAGACAAACACACAGACAGACATATGCACTCTAATAGATATAGATATAGTACTGTACAAATAGGTGCACATTTAGTCAATACATTAAATAGAGCAACACTGATAAGACCTAGTGTGAATACTATATCCTCTTTTCAGTCTTACAGGTAGGTATGTTAAGCCTTACCATTCACAGTGAAACAAATAGTGAAAAACTTCCTATGGCACTGGCTACAATCCAGTTAAAAGTTCATCAGCTTTGCCAGAGAACTTATTAACATTAGGCAGAAAAAGAGTGGATTTGATGTCTGTGTGTTAAACAGAAGCACTGATTTACTATCTTGCACGCCCCCAGCTGGTGGTTCTTTGTCTGTGTTAGTTGTTTTAGGTAGCAATCTCAGCTGAAAATGTGAAAGGTTTGCTTTAGAACTGATGGTCTATAAACAACCCACTTTTATGTTAACATAAATTAAATATATAATTTACAACGCCTCCCCCCTAAATTATAGCAATAAATAATAATACACGTGACTCAAATTTTACCA